CAGTTCAATTGTTCTGAACATGCAAAGTGGGTTAATAGTCTAAGAATGACTTGAGTCCAGCAGCAGTCCGCTGAAACTTCTAACCAGAGACAAACTGACAAATCCAAACCTGGGTCAAAAACTTGCTGAACTCAGACCAGGAGGGCAGTGAGCAGACATTGCCCCAGATCACATCACTCTGGAAACACTGAAAGCTAGTAGGCCCCCAACACAAGCTGTGAAAGCAGCAGAAGGATGCAAGGAAAAAAAACAAAGCTCAGCCCACTCCAGAAGTACAAAGAACCCAGCCCTAGTATAAAGTCCAAAGTCAAGAGATAAGCTAGAAGAATGAGGGAAAAAAATAATTTTACCATAAAGAGCTATCATAAAGACAGAGAATCTTATGACATAAGCCTGGATAAAGAGAATGACTCCAAAACATCTATAAGCAAAGCCTCAAAGAAAAATGCAACTAACACACTAATCCAACCAAAACTCCTAGAAGAAACAAAGCAAGATGGGCAGCTAAGTAACACAGTGGATGGAGCACTGGCCCTGGAGTCAGGAGGACCTGAGTTCAAAACTCAGCCTCAGACACTTACTAGCTGTGTGACTGTGGGCAAGTCACTTAATCTTGATTGCCTCAAAAAAAAAAGTACAAAAAGAAACAAAGTAAGAGGCTTTCTTCTTTTCTTTTAAAGAGCTAAAAATCTTTTTTAAAAACTAAAAGAAAGTAGAAAAGGAAAAAAAATAGGAATAGAAATGAGAGCTAAGGAAGAAAGATATGAAAGAATTAAGAGCCTGGAACAAAACCTTACCCAAGAAAATAAATCCCTGAAAATTAGAATTAACCAAATAGAAGCTAATGACTCCTTGAGACATCAAAAATTATTTTTAAAAATCAAAAGACTAGGGGCAGCTAGGTGGACAGAGCACTGGCCCCGGAGCCAGGAGGACCTGAATTCAAATCTGGCCTCAGACACATAACACTCACTAGCTGTGTGACTTTTAACAAGTCCCAATTGCCTCACCAAAAAAAAAAAAAAATCAAAAGACTAACAACAAAACAAAACAAAACAAAAAACAGGAGAAAATGTGAGCTATATCATAGCAAAAACAAAAGAGGTGGGAAACATTGAAGAGAGATAATTTAAGAATCATTAGACTACCTGAAAGCCAGAACAACAAAAAGAACTAAACATCATATTTCAAGAAATCATAAAAGAAGACTGCTCAGATCTCTTAGAACCATTGGCAAGGTGGAAATAAAAAGAATCCACCTGCCACCTCCCAAAGGAAACCCCAAATGAAAATTCCCAGGAACTTCATAGCCAAAATCCAAAGCTTCCAGATTAAAGGAAAAAAAAATGCAAGCAGCCATAAAGAAAGAATTCAAGTACTGAAGAGTCACATTTAGGATCACATAAATTTAGCAGTCTACCATAAAGTGGAGAGCTTGGAATGTAATATTTCAGAAGGTAGAAGATATAAGCTTAGAACCAAGAATAACTTACTAGGAAAATAGTAAAAAACAAAAAAATGGATCTTTAATGAAATAGATTTCTAAGCATTTCTGATGAAAAGTTAAGAGTTATGCAGAAACCTTGAAATGCAAACACAGGCATCAAGAGGCATAAAAAGGTAAACATTCTGTGAAAGACTTAACTACTCCTATCAAGACAATGATCCAAGACAATTCCAAAGGACCCATAATGAAAAACGCTATCCACCTCCATAGAGAGAAGTGATGAACTCTGAATGTAGATTGACGCATACTTTTTTAAAATTAATTTATTTTGATTTATCAATAATCACTTCCATATGCTTCTGAGTTTAAAATTTTTCTCTCCCTTCCCCCCATCACCCTCCCCAAGACAGCACACAATATCATATAGGCTATACATATACATTACTACTAAACATATTTTCACATTAGTGATCTTGTAAGTAAAAATTAAAACCAATAGGAGGAACCACCAGCAAGAGGAAACAAAACTCAACAGAAGAGAAAAAAATAGCAAATAGTATGCTTCAATCTGCATTCAAATTCCATAGTTCTTTCTTTGAATGTGGATAGCATTTTCCATCATGAGACCTTTGGAGATGTCTTAGATCCTGGTATTGCTGGGAAGGGTTAAATTTATCAGTATTAGTCATCACACAACGTGGTTCTGGTCATGAAGCATACTTTTTTACTTTGTTTTTCTTGTTTTATTTTTTGTCGTGTTTTCTTTTGCAAATGGCCAATACGGAAATGTTTGCAGAACTTCACATATATAATCAACATCAAATTGTTTGTCTTCTCAAGGAAGAGGGAGGACTGGAAGGAAAGGAGAGAATTGGGAACTCAAAATTTTAAAAAATTAATATTAAAATATTTTTTACATGAAATTAAGAAATATTTAGTGAAATAAATAAAAATTAAAAAAAACCTTTAAAAAAGGTAAACATGAATGAGCAATCATAAGGGATTAAACAAGGTTAAACTGATTATATTCATAAATGGGGAGATGATATATATAGACAGTTCTCATTTTATGTAAATTCACATTATACAAATTTGACTTTACCTAAAGAATTCTGAAAGAAATCTGTATACCAGCCCTCCCCCCAAAAAAACAACTAATCTTGACTCTATTGTAGAGTACTGTGCTCTGTCTCTACTCTTACCCCTCAGCTTGGTGTTTGAAGCCTCCCAACTCCCCTTCAAACCAAATTAAACCGATCCAAAAAAGCCTAAAAAACAACCCTCCAAAGGAAAACTGAAGAAGGACCTTCCCGGGGACATGGCTTGAGACCTCTGGAGCCAAGAGAGGAGAACTTTGCCCCAATCTTTTGCCCTACTCAGCCACCTGCAGGCCTGTAGAACCACTTGTCTTTTGTCCCTAGAATTTCTAGGCCCTCAGTCTAATTAGACTCCCTCTAAAACTCCAGGTGATAATAAAGTTCTTATTTACTTGTTACAGGTATCATCTCCCCATTTAAGAATGTAAATAGTTTAACCTTGTTTAGTCCCTTATGATTCCTCCTTCATGTTTACCTTTTTACGTTTCTCTTCAGTCCTGTATTTTAATGTCAAATTTTCTATTCACTTTTGGTCTTTTTATCAGAAATGTTCAGAAGTCTGTTTCATTAAGTGTTCATTTCCTGTCCCCACCCCAACCCCCATAGTATTAAACTCAGTTTTCCTGGGTAGATTATTTTGGGTTATAATCCTAGATCTTTTGCCTTTCAAAATCATATTCCAAGCCCTCTCTTAGTGGTGGTGGCTGCTAAATTCTATTTGATCCAGACTGTGGCTCCGAGGTTCTTAAATTCTTTCTTTCTGGCTGCTTCAATATTTTCTCCTTGACCTGGAAGCTCTGAATTTTGGCTATAATGTTTCTGGGAGGTTTTTTTTTCGGTTTGTTTTTGTTTGTTTTTTAAGAAGATGATTACTTTGCCCTCTGGGTCTAGGCTATTTGGGTAGTTTTATTTATAATTTCTTGAAATAAGTCTGGGATCTCTTTTGGCTTATGGGGTTTCAGTTAGTCCAGTGAGTTGTAAACTATTTCTCCTCAATCTATTTTTCTGGTCAGTTGTTTTTCCTAGAAGACATTTCACACTTTCTCCTATTTTTTTCCATTTGTTAAACTTTATTTTATTATTTCTTTATGTCTCATGGAGTCATAGGCTTCCATTTAGCTAATCCTAATTTTCAAGGAGTTACTTATTTCACTGACATTTTGTACCTCTTTTGCCAAGCTGTTAATTCTCTTTTCATAATTTTTTTGCACAGCTCTCAATTCTTTCCCTATTTTTTCTCTACTGCTCTCATTTGGTTTTAAAAAATCATTGTCTTTAACTTTCATAGGAATTCTTGTTGGACTTGTGACCAATCTGCCTTTTTCTTTGAATCTTTTAATGCTTGTACATATGGTTGTAAATGTTTTTAAATCACTGTCTTCTGTGGTTGTGCCTTGGGCCGTCACCCTAATAGCTCTTTATGGTCAGGTTCCTTTTTTTTTTTTTTTTATTCATTCATCAAGCCTACTTCTTACCTTTGGACTTTGTTGGGTTATGCTTACTTCTGGGTTGGGGGATGTCTAACCTGAATTTCAGTCCTTTTATGTCCTTCAGCTTTTTCCATAGCTCATTTTGGGAGCTTGTAAGTTTTAGTGATCCCAAAGTTGTTTGATCTGGGGAGAGGTCTGTTTGACTTTCTGGTTTGAGCTCTGCAAGCTCCTGACCTAGGTTTACTTCTGTTGTCTTATATGTGGTTGAGTTTCAGTAGACTGTTACAGGACTCAGTCATTGATTGCCCACTGGGAGATTGCTGCAGGTTCATAGCAACAGAATTGTTGACTTCCCTTAGTCTTGGTCTCTTGCCCTGATTATTTCACCACAAGCTTATGTGTTAGGCTAAAGGCCTAGCTCTGTTCCCGGGCTCAGAGCCACACAACTGTGTTTCTAGAACTTGTTCATTGCTTGGTACCCAGCAAATCTCAATGCTTGCTAGTGACTGCTCCTTTCTTCCTTGGATCTACGACTCCAAACTGATTTATCGGCAACAGTGCTGCTAGATGTCATTTGTTTCTGCTCTTATAGCTAGTGCAGAGTCTCCTGGGATCTTTCAACCCTGGTGCTCTGTCTCAGCTCCCTTTCCATTCCTGGGCACTGGAATGCTCTTTGTTCCTGCTACCACTGCTCTTACCATGATATACTCCCAGCCGATCTCTACTTCAGTGTCCAAAGACACCATATTTCCAAATAGCACATTATATTAATTATAAGGCCTTTTATGAACTACTGCACAGACATTTCACATTCTCCCTGAACCTGCAGTGAGCAATTCTGCACTGACCATGGAGGGTTGGCAAAGTCAGAATTTCCTGCTGAATGCAGGTATTGCTTTAGTTCTGTTGCTACAGGATCTCACTGTTGTTGTTTTCCTCTTTCAAAAGCCAGCTAGTACAGCAACTTTCTTCATTTGGACAGCAGGTGATGCTTCACTTTGGAACTCAGGAACTCTTTATACTTACAAGGTAAAATCCAAGGCTAGAAACGTCCACATCTCAGGACAGTAGTCAATGACCTGTGCTAATAAAAGGAAATGGCAGATGAAGGACACCAAGAATCAGGGAGTTTAGGGGCCCTAGTTTCAGGACTGCTTGAGTGAGCACACCTCCCAGTCCCACTTGTAGCTACTACAAGATGCTGTTATTGATGCTGGGAGCAAAGGGGGAAGAAATCTCTCCATGTTTTGCTAGAAAACTTGAAACTAGGGAGAAGAGTCCAAAAGAGGCAGAACCAATTCCATAGCTGATTCTTATAGGCTACAGAGACCAACAATGCGATTTGTCACTGATACAATGGATAGAGTGCTAGGTCTGGAGTCAGGAAGACCTGAGTTCAAAACTAGCTCTCAGCCATTTATTAGCTATGTGACGCCAGCAAGTTACTCAGTCTCCCTCAGTTTCCTCAACTGTAAAATGGTGATAACAATAGCACCTAACTCCTAGGATCAAATGAAATAATATTTTGTAAAGTACCTAACACAGTGCTAAGTTGTGAGGATCAAATGAGATACTATCTGCAAAGTGCTGTGTGTGGTGATTGGCAGATAGTAGGTGCTAAATAAATGCTTGTTCTTTTTTCCCTCTCTTCTCCAGTAATTTAATATCTTGAGAGAGTTGCATGGGGCATTGAGAAGCGAAGTGATTTGCCCAAGGTTATACAATGTGTCAGAATTAAGAAAAAAACCCAGGTATTCCTAATTCATACATGGCATTGCTAGGTCCAAGAGTATGAATAGTTTAGTAACTTTTGGGGTTCCAAATTGCTTTCCAGAATGGTGGGACACAGTTCAACCAACAATATATCATTGTGACTATTTTCCCCAGAGCCCCTCCAACATGTCCTTTTCTTGCTCTGCCACCTTTACCAATCTAGGGTGTGAGATGATGCCTCAGATTTTCTTTATTTGTATTTCTTTAATTATTAATGATCTGCAGGATTTTTACATAGCTATTGAGAGCTTCCCACAGTAATTGCTTGTTCATATCCTTTAGCTATTTACCAACTGAGGAATGGCTCTTATTCTTATAAAATTAAATCAATTCCTTTTACGTTTTAGAAATGAGACTTAGAGAAATTTGCTACAAAGATTTTTTTCTGTTTACTGCTTCCCTTCTCATCTGTTACATTGATTTTGTTTGTGTAAAACCTTTTTAATTTTATATAATAAAAACTGCATATTTTATCTTTTGTGATCCTATCAGCTGTCCATAGATCTGAAAGGAAATTTCCTTGTTCCTCTAATTCATTAATGATGTGACCTTTTACAGTTAAGTCATGTATCAATTTGGAGAGCTAATCGTGGTGTATAATGTGAGATTATAGCTCTAAACCTAATTTTTGACAAACCTGCTTTCCAGTTTTCCTGACAGTTTTTGTTGAATCAACAAGTCTTTATTATAGCAGCCAGGGGTTTGGGGTTTATCAAACATGAGGTTACTATACTGATTTATTTCTATATATTGTGTACCTAATCTGTTTACCTGAGTAGCCAACAGGACTCCCAGGATCCTTCTGATTGGAAGGCAAAGCTCCATTTAGAGGGAATGTATGCCAGCCATCTCTTCATTTCCCACCCAGGCACTCCTCTGAATTTCTCTGTCATGCTCCTCATGTAGAATAACTTTCTTCCCCCCTTCTCAGCTTCCTTTTGTGTACTGTCTTTCCCATTAGACTGTAAACTCCTTGAGGGCAATGATTATCTTTCTTTTTCCTCTTATCCCCAGTCCTCAGCACAGTGTCTGGAATATAGCAGACATTTAATAAATGTTTATTGACAGACTGTTGCTGTAATCAATTTTTCTAATTTTTAATCAGTACCAAATCATATTGACTGTTTTGTAGCGTAATTTGAGACCTGGAACTCCAAGGCCTCCTTCATTCTCATTTTCCAATGATTCTCTCCTCAATCTGTTTTCCTGGACAGCTGTTTTTGATATGAGATAACTAACTTTTTCTTCTATTTTTTTCAGTCTTTTTATTTTTATATTTCATGTTGTCTCATGGAGTCATTAAATTCTAAATAGTCCATTTAATTTTCAAGGAATCTGTTATTTGAATGAGGTTTCGTACCTCTTTAATAAGTTAATTCTTTCAATCTTTCTTCCAAAGTTCACAGTTCTTTTCCAACTTTTCCCTCTAGCATTCTCATTTCAATTATAATATCATTTTAAAACCTTTTTCTTGATTCTTGCTTAATTTTTTCCAGAATTTTAGTTTACCCTGTAGCAATTTGCATTTTTCTTTGAGGCTTTGCTTATAGCTGTTTTGGATTTATTTTCTTTTACTGGGTTTGTGTCTTGGGCATCCCTGGCACCATAATAATTTTTTATTGTGAGAGTCTTTTGTTTTTTATTCAGTCTTCTAGCCTTAATTTACAAATTGAGGTTTTGTATTAGGGCCAGATGGAATATCAGTGTCTTAATTGGCTAACTTTTATATTCTCTGGAGTCCTGTTGATGTTTTCTCTGGATATCAAATACTGTTTCTTCAAAGATGTCATCAGAGGTGCTTCAGTCTGGGGATATGCCAACTTTCATTGTGTTTTAAGCAATCTGATTCAGGACAAAGCTTGACCGCTACTCTCTTGGTCTGTTTGGCAAGCTCCTAATCCCAGTCTGAATCTGGGCAACATAACCTTGGGCTTGCCCCTGGTTGGAGCTTCAGCAAACTGCTTCTGGTGTCAGTGGGCTCGAAGGCTCTGATGGCTCAGAAAGGCAGAACTACAGGCTTCCTTGAGTCTGGGCTCCCTGCCCTGGCCCCACTGCTGATTAACACCTCAGAATGGGCTGGGGGCTGGGGGCTGAATCTGAGATCTTATTTTGGAGTCAGTGTCAGACAGCTGCTGCATATTTTGTTCTTGCTCGTTGCCCAATATGCTGCTTCAGGCCTTGCCTAAGTTGGATCTGCTAGATGACTGGTTGGCCCTTGCCCTGACACAGAGCCACACGTTCGCTACATACATAGCTGCATGTTTCCACCTAAATCTGGATCTTCCCATTGAAGTTGGATCTGAAATCCAAATTGAGAGTCAGAACTCCATAGCTTCAGGTTGGGGCTGTTCTTGCTGTCTGCAAGGTATATAGGATCAAGCCCAGTTCCTCTTAGACTCATGACCATTCCGTGTCCTGGAAAACAGCCCCAGGTTGGCCCACATCTTGCTACACGTCCCCTCCTAAATCTGCAACTGGATCTGCAGTTCAGCTTTGAGGTAAAAAAGACTTAGATGCTGGCTGGCTCCTATTCCTGCTCCCTAGGCCAGAAAACTTTCTGTATTTTGGTGTTGGATTTTCTGATCAATATTTGGTCTAGTGCTCTTCTTAGGTCTTTGTTTGGGTAGTTGTGGGGGAGTGCCAGGCTGTACTGATTCTTACTACTCCATCTTGGCTGGTTCTCTGTGTGTGTGGTATCATCCTAGGAGAATGAAAGCTCTTTCTCTTCTTCTTTTTCTTCTTTTTGGAGGCAATCTTGTTTTGGAGGGGTTAAGTGACTTGCCCAGGGTCACACAACTAGTAAGTGTCTGATGCCATATTTGAACTCAGGTCCTCCTGACTCTAGACCTGGTGCTCTATCCACTGTGCCACCTAGCTGTCCCTGGATGTAAGCTTCTTGATGGCATTTGTATCCCCAGAACCAAATACAGTGCCTATCACATAACAGGAGCTAATAAATGCTAGATAAATAAAAAAGCTTTTAAACTCAATAAAAAAGATTATAAATGAGTATTCTGTCATGAAAAGTGGTACAGTTAATCAAATAAAGGGCTGGCCTTGAAGTCAGGAAGACCACAGTTCACATCTGGCATTTGGCACATACTAGCATGTGAGCCTGGGAAGTCACTCAACTTCTGAGTGCTCTAGGTAACTCTCTAAAAGTATAAATTTTGGGTGAGGAGAGTTTCCAAACAAGGAATTAATTTCTAGATGAAATCAAAGATTTGGAACAAAAATAAATTCTTTCATGTAGGTTTGCTTGAAAACAAACCCAATGCTTTATATCAGAAAGTTTGTTGTTTTAGGAATGCTACCAAAGTGAGGAGGGCCCTAATCAGTCTGTATGGCTTATAATGTATGCATATATGTGTATAGATGGACTAATGCATTTTTTATATAAATACAGAACTCAGTGGGAAAGCTGAGAGCTAGGTGACAGAAATTTATACTGATTGGAATGGAGTGCTGCTGAATGGAAAAGGCAGGAGTGGTAGGAGTAAGCAATGAAAGAGGTAAAAAGGAAGTCCCTAATTAGTAGCTTCAACTATTTGGAGAACTTTGAAGAAAGTTACAGTCAAAATAGTATTGAGTAAATTAACAATGGTGACGTTGAAGAGTGAAGGAAGCAACATCAGAGAAAAGAAGTTAATGTTATTATTACAAAAGAAAGTTGGCAGGCAGAACGGTACAGGATCCTGGATGGATATAAGCATGCCAAGATAAAGGTTGTGACAGAGAAAAAAAGAGAGGGAATAGAAAAAGATAAAGATAAAAGGCAGATATTAGAGAGGGAAGTAGGAGCGTTTGGTAACTTTTTGGGGAGGATGTTATAGTTCATAGTTCTGAATAAAGGAAGGAAGTAGTCTTTGCTGATATATGGGAAGTAAGAAGAAAAAAATAACATGCAATTTCTGGATCTAGTTGAAAACAAGAATTTGGCTTGAGCTACTTTGTCCTTGAAGTTATGCAGTAAGAAGTATCTCAAGGCAGATGTAGTCTAGCGGCATTTCAGGGAAAGGAACTACAAAAGGTTGTTTTGTGATCGTTTGCTCAAAGTAGTGCTATTTTGTGAAGTTAACAGTGACATGTATACTTTGCTTTAGCCAAAGTGGGTAGATAACTGACAATCTATCCATTTTCCTTGAATTACTGTCTGTCCTATTCAGCCTCACTTGATCCCCTTAATCAATAAAGACCCTCATGCTCTTCAGCCCCACCCTTTGGACCATGAATGACACTTGGTCTGCACCTCTTATACACTTAGCTTTTAGTATTATATAGTTTTTTGTGTTTGTGTCATATTCCTTTTACAGAGTATAAGATTCATGAGGACAGGGATAATTTTATTTAATCTTTATATTTCTTCTTCCTAACTTCCCTTTTTCTGTTGAAGGCATCTTTCTAGCCATACAAGCTCAGAGTCCTCTTCCATTCTTCATTCTCCATCCCTCTCTCCAATCATTTGCCTAATCTCATTAATTCTTTTACAGTATCTATTATAACCATCCTGTTCTCTCTATTCCTTTAAGCCATCATCCTAACTGAAATATTCATCAATTCTTGCCTGGATTATTGCAATAGCCTCCGAATTAACCTCTTTGCCTCCAGTCCTTCCCTTCTCCAATTCATCCTCTATATAGCTGCCAAAGTGATATTCCTAAAGGAATCTCTAATTCCTGACCACTTCACTCCTTTGTCTCCAAGGCTCTACTGGCTCCCTATTGCTACTACGATAAAATATAAAGTCCTCTGACATTCAAAGCTCTTCACAATCTAACTTTAACCTACCTTTCTAGGTATAATATTACACATTATTCTTCATAATATCTAATTTCCATACAAAATCACCTATTTGCTATTCTTCATACATTACATTCAATCACCTGTATTCCTGTTTTTGCACATGCCTGAAATGAACTCCCTCCTCACCTCTGCCTCTCAAAATTCCTAGATCCCTTCAAAGCTCTGCCCAAGTGCTGCCTCCTACGAGAAGCCTTTCCTGACTCACCTTCCAAGCAGACAGTGACCTGTTTCCAAATTGCTTTCTGTCTACTGCGCATATATTTTGTATTGGAGAGATAGTGTGGATGGAAGGCTTCCTTCAGAACTAGGAGTGCAAATCCAGCCTCTGATACGTGGCTGTGTGACCCTAGGCAAATTATTTAACCCCTCAGCGCCCTGGGCAATTCTCCTAAGGCTATAATTTTTAGCGAAGGTAACTACCTGCATTGGAAGAGGGAGCTTCTTCACCTATGAGTTCCCTATATTGATAAAATCACAGGGCCAGTCCCTATTCACATATTTTGTAACTACTTTGATGTGTTCATGTTGTTTTTCCAGATAAAATGTAAACCCCGTGAAGGTACAGAATTTTCTTTTTGTCTTCCTGTCCCCAATGCCAGGCACACAATAGGCTCTTAAAAATTCTAGCCTGTAGAATCCTTCTGTACCTTGTACAGTACTCTGCATATACAAGAGTGCTCTGGACTTGGCTCTTTAATGAATGTTTAGTAAAGTTAAACAGTTAATAAGGAACACTGTAATCCGTTACCTAAAGTATACTTACAACTTGGAGAACATTATAGCTGTGCCACACAAGCTGACTTTTGTCTACTTTGCTTGTTGGCATAAAAAGGCATTTATGATTAGCTAAGTGACCAAATGTATTATTCTATGTTGGACAGCTCTGCTTTTTGCTTCTCTCATCTTAGTAAGACAGCATTCTAAAACAGGCCTGCAAAAAAAGGGCAGTTTCATAATATCTGGGATGCTTACTCATTTTAAAGGCTCTTTCTCATCTTCTGTATTTCTTTCTTCCAATTACTAAGGCAAATTAATAAATGACTTATATTATGTAAGTCTCTACCATACCACTTTCAAATTGTTCTTCATTCCCTTTTTCATTAGTTGGAAGAGTTGCCCACTTCATCCTAAGCCCCTAGCTATCAAGGTATATTATCAACAATTTGGTGAGTAACATCTATTCCCTAGGGACACAAATAAGGAAAGAAAGTTTTAAGACTCTATAAGGAACTCAGCAGAAAGCTACATAACATTCCAAAGAAGAAATTGATGAATATCTCTAAAGAAAAAAAGGACTAAATCTGGTTTACTAATTCATACCAATTGATAATCATTGGGAAGCTCACTAGTAGGGGCTCACAAGCTACACATTAGAAAAGCATTCCTAACTCTTCAGAGCTACTCCTAGAATGGTGAAGGCACATGGGACACTAACACGCTAATGTGAACGGGAGTTGGGAGCTACAGACCATGTACTACACTGAGATCATAGGAAATATCAGTGGATCTAAGATCTACCACCTCTTATTAAGAGGGCACACTGAAGAAATTGGGGCCCCTTTGTGTGTGATCTTTAGGCTCCCATTCAGTTCTAATATTTTTCTGTTTCTAAGTACTGGCTTCTTTATAATTGTCCAAATAAAGTTTAAGTATAAAGACATGTGTGTATGTATGTATATACATATATATTCATATAAATATATGTACAAACACACATTTTTTTTTGAGGGGGAAGGGGCACTAGAACTGGCTTCACTTTCTTAATACAGCTCTTCATATACATGTGATGCCGCTTCAATGTCCTGCCCAAGCTGTTTGCTAATCATTAATCATACATACTTATGACCCAATAGTCTTTTTTGAAATTTGGTCATTTTAATAATTTAAACACTAGCACTACATTGTGCGGACCCTGGTTACTTTTCCAATGTACTTATAGGATGACTGGAATAACCTTTACTTAGTGCTGAGAATTTAAGGCCAAGGGCTATTGCAGGGCGATCTATTTCGTTTCCTTATTTTGGAATTTCCCTGGCATTAAGAAAAACAGGTCCAAGCTGATAAATTGGATTATGGTGTGCCTGAAAGCCATCTCCAAACTTGATTTTACTTGGAATTAGGTGTGGCTTTTTCAGTTTGTTAATATTTCACTATTTGGAAATGTTTTCAGAAGCATGTGAGCCATTAGGACACGTGTTTAAAAAAAAAAAAAGGTTTAAGTAACCCTCCTCCAAAGATTAAAATGTAAAATTCCATGAAAATTAGGATAAAAGCATTTGTCTACAACTCTACATTTGAGGCTGCAAAGAGAAAGCTGGGGGCGGTGGGGGTGGGGGGAACCGTGGCTAAAATATAATTGCTGCTCTGGGTCCTGGGTTTCCACTTCCTTCTCCAGTTGCAAACGTGCGGGTAAATGGTGAATTTCGGAGCCCGATCCCAGCACGGTGCACATGTAAATTCATTTTACCTTTGGAACACACGGAGGAAAAACGGATTTCTTTTCCCTCTTGGGCCAAAGCACGTTAAAACTTGCAGTTTTTTCCACGACTTCGCAAGCTGCCCGGGGCGGGGGCATCAAGCTGGCCACCGGGGCCCGAACCGGCCGAGGAGATCCCGGTTCCGGGGCCGGGCGGGAAGCCGAGCTACCGTCCCTCGGGCTTTCGCCCGAGCCAGAGGCCGCGAGGATCCCCGGCGTCGCCCCGAACTGGCCGCGGGGGACGGTTCCGCTCCCGCCGCTTCTTCTCCGTCGGGGCGGGGCCAGCGAAGCGGGAAGGCTATGGGGGGGGGCGGGCGAAGGGTGGACCAAGGCGCGCGGCCAGCCGAGAGGCACCTCCCCCTCCCCCACCCGTGCCCTCGGCGCACGAACCTTCACTGCCCCTACGGCCTCCACTTCGCTCCCTTCCCCACCTAGATCCCTAGAGCGAAGCCCGCGGGCAAGCGCGTTCCCGAAAGAAGGGCGGGGGGAGCGCTCGAGGAGGACGCAACCAATAGCATCACGCGCTTCAGAGAAAAGGGGTTAGAGCAGCGGCAAGCGGTCTGGGAACTGGACCGGAGCGGGAGTGGGGAATGGGGGGGTGGAGGCGCGTGCGCGAAGCCGAGGAGGCGGGGTGAGCTGCCTTGCAGAGGCCGCGATGGCCGCTAGGAGGCGCATGCGCCTTGGAGGCGCCCAGGCAGGCCCCGGGGACAGAGGCGGCGACGGCGGCGGCTGAGGCGGAGGAGGGTGGGGGTGCCGCTGGGGGCCGGGCTGGTGTTTACACAGCGGAGGCGAGCGGGGGTGGCCGGGAGCGGACACAAGAGCCCGAGCGGCGGCGGCGGCGGCGGCACGATGGTCATGGCGCATTTCGTCGAGAGTTTCTGGGTAGGAGAAGGGGCTGGCGGCGTCCTGGGAGGGAAAGAGGGAGAGGAGCCGGTCGGTCGGGTTCAGCGTCGACGTTTCGAGGCGGGAGCCGCGGCGACGGGGAGCGTCCGGAGCCCGGGCTCGGCGCGGAGGGGGACCCGGCTCCGGCTCCGGCTCCGGCTCCGGCAGAACCGACGGAGGGAGGAAGGAGCCCCGGCCTCTCGGGTCTTCTCCCGCTGTCATCGGGCAAGGTCGCGCCCCGGGCTGGGGGGGACAAAGCGCCGCAGGCCTGGCGGGGGGTGGGGGTGGGCCCCTCAGCAGGACTGCCCTGGGCACACACTGATCTCCGGGGAGCAGCACCGAGGGCGTGGGCCCAGCGCCCCCCCACTAGCAGAGCTCCCCCACCCCCACCTCCGGGCCAGCCCCTGCTTACCCCCTGTGCAGCCCCCCCCCCATTGCCTGCTCGGCTTACCCCCTGCCCACCCCGCCCCCATCTCGGCTAGGTCACTACATTGCCCACTGCTTTGCCCTCTGGGCCTATTCACCAAAAAAAAAAAAAAAAAAAAAGGTTCTAAAAAGTTGAAATGTTAATATTTCAGTTTCAGTGCAACGAGACACCCCCCCATCCCTTTCCTTCACCCAGATCTCCTTTTGCCTTCTTCATTCCTGTCGCGCCCCTGCTCTGAGCCCTTAATATTAGACAAAGATTGTTCTTTGAAAAAAATCACTTCTGTCTCCCGTTTCTGAGTCTCTGTGTGTGTTTTCCTGCAGTTATTGTTTGCAGGGTTGGGAAGTACAGTTCAGCCATATACAGGAAAGCAGCATGTTTACGAAAGTAACTGAGATGGATCTCACTTTGACATCCCTCTGCCAGCTATGGACAGAAATTCTATTTTCATTAAAACTTTGAAGTACTGCAAATATTGAATTAACTATAGGGATCAGAAAAGGCGGAGCTATGGTTTGGTTACTAAGCTCAAAATCTTTATTCCTTAGTGTTTCTTTAACTTGGACTCTTCCTTTCAGAATTCAATTAGTTTATAGAACTTTGAACAACTGTTGCTGTTCTTAAATTTTTCTTCCCCCAGAAGTATTGTAAAACCTAGCTGTTAGGTTGTGAAAAGGCAATTTATAAGCTAGTATTCTCTTCCCAAAAGACCAAAATTTATGTGAAAATTTAAGTTGTTATAAACCTAGGTATTCTTGAAATTCTCTGACTTTATTGCAGTTGTAGTTTTTTTTTTAAGAAAAAATGCTAATTAAACTTCTTAAATAGTTATTGATTATGGTAATGGAGGAACAAGAATATTTTGGATAATTAAAATCCAGAGAATTCCCAAGCTTCATTCTATAACAAAGCTTCAGATTCTTTTCCGCCAATGTTTCTGATAGAGCCTAAAGTAGTTCAGATAGCAAGATGAGATTGATACATTTTACTACCTTCCCAGGTGTCTGCATGGCAGACATTACTGAAAATATTGCCAGCAGTCTAATGGATAGAGGTTCTAACCCCTATCTATTCAAGAACACCCAAGTCCAAATCCCACGTTTAATACATACTGGTTGTGTGATCTTGAACACTTAGTGTCCCATTAAGTCTGTAAGTTACCGAGCAGTTGCTGATTTGCATTGGTAGAGTCACAGGTCTTTCATTCCACACATCCTTTTTACCCCAAGAAAGAATTAAAACTGTATAGGATCATAGGTTGAGAGTTAGGTTGAGAGTTGGAATAGCTGGGTCAAACCCCTCATTTGAATGCTGAGGAAGTTTAGGCCTAGTGAGATAAAGTAATTAGAGCCAGGATTTGAACTTAGGTGATCAGCATACTTTCCACTATGTTAGCTCCCCTTTAACCATTTAAATCTTATATAGTGTATACATACAGAATGTTGTTCATACTTAAAGGGATTAAGCTTTTGAAATGAAATAAAATTAGTTGAGATGAGGCTGTGAGAATGATACAAAACTTTAGGCCTAAATGATACTATTAGTTTTGTTTCTTTTTCAACATTTATAAGATGTCTTTTTACTGTGTCATTTTTGGACATTTGTAAGAGGAAACATATCATGCCTAGTTTTAAAGAAGTCTTTTTCTTTTGAAGTATCATTCTTGACCAAAATGATATACTGAAATGATTAATTCCTTCATTTAGTATTCTATTCTGAAGTGAAAATATCTTTCAAAACTTCTTTTAGAACAGGTGTTTTATTGCTGATAAGTAAGTTTTTGCTACACAGTATGGTAACATTGATAGTCAAACTGAAACTGTTTCTCCTTTCAACTAAATTAGTCAGCTAAAATCACTTAGAAAGCAAGAATCTTTGTCTTTCATATAGGAAAACAGTTGTTAGCCCATCAATAGAATACTTTAAAAAGATGACTATTTGTATTAAAAAAATTGAGGAAGTCTGCTTGTAGAAGTGTAAGATAAATGTATACTGCATGAACTGATCTGAGTGGTTATAGTTTTTGCACGTGTGTATTTGGAGTAGTGTGAGGTAGTGAGTTTAGAAAGTGCACTGGATTGGAGTCAGAAAACTTGGGTTGGAGGTCTCTGCTGGAACTTTAACTAGCTATATGTATGACTTTGGTAAGTCATTTAACTTAAGTTTTTTTTTTTTTTACTTTGTCTATAACATGGGAATAATACTTAAGCTACCTAATTCATGGGGTTATGTAAAGAAAACTCTTTGTAAATTGGAAAGCACTTAAATGAATGTGATTATAATTATTTAAATTTATAATATATTTGAGATCCATAACCAGTATTACCAAATAGTACATTGCCTAAAACGAATAATTTGATATTGAATTCCATTAACCTCTCTGTACAGATGATTCTCAAATCTGTTTATCTAGCCCTAATTTCTCTCCTGACATCCAGTCTTCTTCTTGTACCTGTCTATTGGGTGTCTTTGAATTGGATGTCCTGCAAATATCATAAACTTAACATGTCCAAAACTGAACTGATCCTTTCACTCAAACCTGCCTCTCCTTCTCGCTTCCCTGTTATATTTGACGGCATCACTATCCTCCCAGTCACACAGACTTGGAAATTAGGTGTCATCCTCAACTCCTCACTCTCTTATCTCCTTTCCCCCATATATATAGGGGAAACTTGTTGCCAAATCTGTAGATTCTTTTTCACAACCCCGTCCTAAACAACCTCTTCTCTCCTCTGACATCGCCACCACTCTGGTTCAGGCCCTCACCATCTCATGCCTGAACTATCGCAATAGGTTTCTGTTAGTCTTCCTGTCTCATATCTCTCCCTATTCTAGTCCATCGACTACTTAGCTATCAAAGTGATCTTAAAGCGAAGGTCTGACCATGCCACCCCTGTAGTCAGAAAATTACAGTGCTTTCCTGTTACCTTCAAGGTAAAATATATTCTTTGTTTGCTATTTAAAGCCCTTCATGACCTGGCACCTTCTTACCTTTGCATTCTTCTTATACTTTATCCTCTTCCACGTAATTTATAGTTCAGTGATACTGATCTTCTTACTGTTCTTTGAACATGACACTCCATCTCTCCTGACTTAATGCATTTTCTTTCTTTCTTTTTGTGAAGTAATTGGGGTGAAGTGACTTGCCCAGAGTCACACAGCTAGTGAGTGTTATGTATCTGAGGTCCGATTTGAACTCAGGTCCTCCTAACTCCAGGGTCGGTGCTCTATCCACTGCGCCACCTAGCTGCCCCCTTAATGCATTTTCACTGGCTGCGCTCCAGGCCTGGAATTCTCTCCCTCTTCATCTCTACCTCCTTGCTTGCCTAACTTCCTTTATGTCCCAGTTAAAATCCCACCTTCTGTAAGAAGTCTTTCTGGTCCTTAATGCTAGTACCTCCCCTCTGATATATTATCACTAATTTCTCCTGCCTGATTCTTGTTTACACATAATCATTTGAATATCATCTTCTTGATTAAGCTGTGACCTCCTTTGAAAACAGGATTGTTTTTGCCTCTCTTTGTATCGCTAGTGCTTAGCACAGGTGCTTATTAATGAATAACTTGAATATATATATTTTATATATGTTTATATAAAATATAAATTTTATAAACACATTTATTTTTATATTTATTTTATATTTTAATAACTTTTTTAAAGAATTGAACAAAAAGTTAATAAACTACGGATTTCCTAAATTACTATTAACCAAAAGGATGAAGTGGGTAAGGGCAAAACTTTCAAGAGTACAAGATATAATTATGTACCATATCTTATATAATACTTCTTGTCTGCTTGAGAAGACCATATGGTATTTAGAATATTCTTTAACCTGTAACATGCATTGATAACTAGTACTTGTGGTTTAGAGGACTTTCAAGTATTGATCATTTAAAGGAAGATCAGCCCTATTCATCCTTTTAAAGAAAAAAAAACCTGAAAACATTTCTTTCTGATTTTTTCCTGAAATTTTCTCTTTCCTATTAATTCCTCACCTATGGAGAGGTTCAAATTGCTGTTGTCTAATTTGTTGGTCCAACTCCATGTGCAGTAATTCTTTTTAGTGGATATAATTGTTTTATGTATGCACAAATACATCAGAAAATTTTTTGTAATATCATAGGGCAGGACATTTTAAGACTGTCAAATTCTTGAATTACCAATAGTAACAGAAAGCAGGGAGTTACAGAATCTCAGATGTGGGATCTCAGAGGCCCTCCAGTACATCTCATATATCTTCAGGAAACCCTCTACAACATCCAGTCTTTATTTGGAAACCTCTGATGAGGAGAAACTTATTTTCTAAGGTAACACACTACACTTTGGGATAGCTCTAATTGTTCTAAAAGCTTTTCCTTATATCAGAATCTAGTCTGCTTCTGTAACACTCCTTTTAACTTCTACAGAACTTCTGGAGACAAGCAAAACAAGTAAAAATCCTTTCTCTACATGACAACCCTTCACAAACTTGAAGATGGCTATCATGTGTGTCATCTTCACCCTGCTTCTCTTTTTTCCAGCTGTGCATCTCTAGAACCACACTACTTCAATTTGTGGTGCTGAGAACCAAAT